AGGTTAACTCCTTGCCACCCAGCCCTCCTGCTAGCCTGTGACCTAGCCCTGCATCACTGCCCCCCTTCCCCACCGCCTCCTCCACTCTGCCTCCCAATAACCCCGGTCTCCTGTTGGACGAAGCCAAACAAAACGAGATGCCACTTGCATCCTGCAAGCCCTTGAATTGCCAAATCTCTTTTTAAGTACCATTTTTCTTCTAATTACAAAAACAGCCTATATTCAACACAGAAAAGTTAGCCCAGGACAGTTTTCCCCCTACCCACTCACACACCCCAGATCCTTGTCATTGATTCCGGCATCATGACTCCTAACAATGCTCTCGCCTGGCCAGGGGAAGGGGAGGTCACACTGAGTGGCAGGGGGAGGAAGTCATTGCAAGTTTCCTCTTAACTGGGCCTTGACAAGTGTGTGTAGGGGGAGTGGGGGGTGTTGACAGTGATACAGTAATAGGTTCCATCCAGCAAAGGCCAGGGAAAGAGAACAGGCTGAACAGTAGGAGCAAAACAAGCAATTTAGTTTGGATGCACATGTAGGGCAGTGGTTCTCAATCCTGTTGCAAGGGAATGATGGAAAGTAAGACTGAAACAGCTGAATAGAATTGAAGCACGAAGGGCCAGCCGCAAATGCCAGGTCAGAGGGTTTGGAATTGACCCTCTATTGAACAGGGAAAAACAGGGAGCTTTTGTGCACTGAAGCATCCTGTCAGCTGGGGATTTCAGTTAGATGAATGTGGAAACTGTAGGTAAAATGGATTGGAGACAGGAGAAAGTGCAGGCAAGGAGTCCACTTACGGGGTTAATGCAACAGTCCAAGCAGCTGAAGCATGTGGCAGTGAGGGAGGATGTGATTCTGGCTGGTTGGTGGTGTGAACAAAATACGTTATTTAAGAGACACATGGAATGTGTAATAGTATTTTTTTTAATACTTGAAAAAAAATAAACAGTGCTCGGTGCTTATATCTGATGGTAATATTATAAGTGATTTTTTTCTTTATACTCTCCATAATCTTATACATTTTTAATAATGTGTAAGTATTATTTTATTTTATCTATTTATTTTTAAATTTTTTCTTTATTGATTTCAGAGAGAGAAGGAAGAGAGAGAGATAAAAACATCGATGAGAGAGAACATCGATTGGCTGCTTCCTGCATGCCCCCACTGGGGGATCGGGCCCACAACCTGGGCATGTGCCCTGACTAGGAGTTAAACCGGCGACCTCTTGGTGCATGGGTCCATGCTCAACCACTGAGACACACTGGCTGAACTGTAAGTATTATTTTATAATCACCATTTTTTAATCAGCTGGAAGGAAATATCCATAGGATTCAGTAACTGGTTCAGTTAAGTAGGAGGGGGGAAGGAGGTTCAAAGATGATTCTGAGGTTTCATCCATGAATATCAATGCCCATTAATGAGAATTACAACACAAGAAGTTAGTTTGAAGAGGATATTGTATTGAAATCCACTCATGTTGAGTCACCCATGTGGCCACTGGTCCCCACCTACCCTGCATTTACAAGTTTCTCTCCTTGGTCTCATTTACTCTTTCTCATGTGGCTCTCACCTGAGCTAGTGGCTTTAACTAGCATCTCTTTAATTTCTAACATTTGTTGAGTATCCTTTATGTGCAAATCAGGGCATATAAAATATAGTCCCAGATGTCCTGAGTTTCTCCCAAGTCCCCATCTTCATCCTGGCTGCAGCTCTACATTTCTATCTGCTGGAAGCAGTATTTCCTAGCGGCAATTTAACTTCACCCTATCCAAACCCAAACTAATTAACATTCCCCACCAAACCTGTTCCTCTTTCTAATTTGTTTTTTCATTTCCATTTGATGTTCATGCAACAAACACTGATTAACCACATTCCATGTGCCTGACTCTAACCTAGGTACTCACGGAGTATACAGTGTTAAACAAAACAGACACGTTCCCTGTCCTTGAGGACCCTCCAATCTACTGGGGAAAGTGGGTATTAAACAAATAACTATGTATGTGACAATTATTTTTACAATTACAGTAGCAGCATTACTTCCTATTAACCCAAGTTGAAAATCTCAAACTCAGTTTTGCTTCTCTCTCAATCTTTACAATCAGTCAATACGTCTTTGAATCTTCTTTCACCAGGACTTAAAATGCCATCATTTCCTTCCATTCCCAGTGTCACTAATTTTGAATCTTTTAAAAAACATATATAATTTTTTTCTTAAAAAAATGTTTTTTCTTTATTGATTTTAGAGAGTGGGAGAGGGGGAGAGAGAAACATCAATGAGAGAGAACATCAATTGGCCACCTCCTGCACGCTCCCTACTGGATCAGCTAGCAACTTGGTCATGTGCTCTGACTGGGAATCGAACTGGTGACCTCCTGGTGCATGGGTTGACGCTCAACCACTGAGCCACACCAGCTGAGCTAGTGTCACTAATTTTGTATGGGCCTTTGTTATCTCGGTCTAATCTATGAGCTTCACATTGGCTTGGTTGCCCATTTACCCGCCTCCACACCCATATGGCTATTAGAATCATCTTCAAGTATTGCTTCATCCCACAGATGGGGAAAAATTCTTCAGTGGCTGCCTATTGTGTAACTTCTGATCACTCTCTTCCTTATACATGACTCCTCTTTCCCTGATTCCTCAACTTGGCTCCTACCAGTCCATCTGCCGGGAACATGGTCTCCCACCTCCAAGAGAAACATGCTTATTCTTCACATTCAAGCTCCTTGAAACTCCTAGATCACTCCAGCTAGAAATGATGGCTTATTCTGAACGCTTCAGGCACGCTAGCTCTCACTCATCCACCACAATACTCTGTGAGGGGTGATTTGTGTTCCATACGGCTCCTACTGGAGCGTGAGCTCCCTAATAACAAAGACGTCTTAACCACCTTCAGGCCCAGTGATGCCTGGCACTAGTGGCGTCTCCCTTGCCCGTAGGAGAAAAAGTGATGTCCATGAACTCTCTGGCCAGGTCCCAGACAGCTATTACTGCCCTCATGTTTTCCTCCCCGGGTGCTTCATCTTGGATCTGCCACAGGAGCTCCCAGGACGGACGATACCAAAGGCCAAGGATAAAGTCAAGGGGACTCAGCAAGGACGAACCATGCGCCCGGTGGGTGCAGTAAAGGCCCCCGGCGTGGCGGGCACTGACCTGCTCCAGCAGATAGATGAGCTGGTCTCGAGCCAGCCTCTTGAGCATGGAGAAGTCAGGCAGCTCTGGGGCGTCCGGCCGATTGGGGAAAGCCATGGCCGCGGTCACCCGAGCGGGGTGTAACGAGAGGGTAGCCCTCCGCTCTCAGAAGACCGGCAGCAGCCCAGGGTAAGCGCAGGGTGGCTCTCCTGCAGGCCTGGGCACGGACTTGGAATGAAGCCCCGAAGGGTTTCTCGCTCTTCAACTGCGCGCGAGAAATGAATGGCCAGCTCCCGGCCGGAGAGCGGCAGCCTCGGGATACGCTCTTCTCAGGTCTGCAGCCACCGTGTACCGACCCGGCCCGCCCAGCTCCACTCCGCGGGTCAGCGGGAGTCTGCTCGGCACTGCTGCACGGAGAACCCCGCCTCCTGACCGGCAGAAGCGACTTCCTGGGCTTTCCGGAAGTCCCATTCGCTTGATCGGCGCTTAGCGTATCGGGAAGTGGACGGCGACTTGGAAGGGACATTTCAAACGGAAGTCAACGCTTGAACGTTCCGGTCTGTTTCTGACCCGAGGGGAGGGTTCCTGTGATAAAACTCATGTCTAAGGGCGCACTCACTTCTCTTAGCTCGCTTAAGCGAAGGCTGCGCTCTTGTTCGATTTTCACAACTTCGTACCATGGGTGAACCTAAGTCTGAAGGACGCTGGTCATTGGGGATCTGGACTGTCAATCAAACCGACTCCTCTTCAGCGGCGTGCTAAGCTAGCACCCCTCTGGCTTCGGAGCTGCAGGAGATACGCGGAGAGATGGGGGGAGAAGAACGTTCACTACCGCCTGCCGTGGCATTTGGATACCGGAGTTTTGACTCATTAATGCCCTTCGTAGGAAAGTGGATAAATAAACGGACACATTCATAAAAATAAATGAAGACACGAAAGAAGCCAGAACGAGTGGCATCAGTATGATGCCATTTGCATAGTTTATAGAACAAGACAAACTAATCTATGTTGAAAAATATTCAAAAGTGACTTTGGGGTTATAATTGACTAGAAAGAGAAATTAGGGCATTTTCAGGGGTGATGGAAATTGTATCTACCTGTTTAGGAAAAAAATGCTTGAGAGTCATAAAAGACAGATCCGCTGACAGTAACCTGAACTCACACTAATCAATCATAACATCACATCCTCATCTCTTGATGAGATGCATGGAAAGTACAGAGCATCGTCCATTACCAAAAATATGACTTGATCAAGCCTCAAGACAAGCTACCAGTTGATAGGAAATAGAAGATGAAATAAAAATGCAGGAAATTTTATGGGATAACCTGTCAAATGGTGAGGGGAATAAAGAAGGGGAAACCACTTTAAAACAAGAGACTTCTGGAACATAATCAACACAATGCAGTGTTGCAGTGTGGACCTTGTTTGGATCCTAATTCAAAGAAACCATAACAGCCATTTATAAAACAACCAGAAAATGCTATCAAGGATATTAGGTGAAATTAAGGCATTACTAAAACTTAAGCTATATTAATGGCTTATATATCAATGTTAAAAAGGAGTCCTTATGTCTTTGAGATATATATTGAAGTACTTATAGATGAAATATGTCTGGAATTTACTTGAAGCTGGGGGAAATGTGGAGCAAGTATGGAATAATGAAAAACTGGCCATTTGTTAAAATGTTAATGCTGCATGGTGGGTGCACAGTTCATTGCATTACAATATTCTCCTTTCACATGTTTAAAACATTATTTAACATTAAGCAAAAAACAAAACACACACAACTTTTGTGCTCACACTGGGCTCATCTAGAATTTTATATTGAGCCCCACCGCCCTCCCCACACATACCTCCCCCTTAGATGGACTCTCAGCTGCAGAGGTGGAGGCTGCCCTGAAGATGATATATATGCCCTCCAGAGCACAGGGACTTTGAAGTTCCAAGTCCCTTCTGTTGTCCAATTTGCCAGCCCCTTGAGCTTGGCCCCAAGGTTACTCCAAGGTGTCCATTCCACTCACAGTCACTTACTTTTTTCAATTTTTATTAATTTATTTTTGTTACAGATGTTTCTCCTTTCACAGTCATTTTTTCTCCAGTTGGAGATCCTTGTCTTCTGTTGCTCTCTTCATCAGACACCGCATCTTTGCCCCTGTGGGTTAGGATTGGAGGCACATTGACAGGATGGAGGAGAAACAAGTCAACCTGCAGGAAGTTTAAGCCCTGTTGACTGAGGTCTGGATGGTTAGTCTGGCAAGGGTAAAAGGCAGGGACTTCTGCTATTGTGGACTGGCTGTTTGGTATAAGGTTCTCCAACCATTTCTTCACTCACTCATATTAAAGTCTATGTTGAAAGCTGGAACTGCAGCAACAAAGACATGTCTCCTGACCTCATGGGGTCTATATTCTAACGTGGGCAAGGTAAGTAATGACAAATACAGTGGTAATACATTTCAAATATTGAGGCAAATTAAACAGGGCGTGGTGACGATGAGAACATGAAGGGAGCTGCTTTAGATCTGGTGATTAGGGAAAGCCTAAGAAATAACACTTGATCTAAGACCTTAGATTGCCATTTGCAAGAATGGAAAGATTTAAGTGTAGTGAACAATAGAGGATGAGGTCAGTGGAATACCTATCCAAGTTTCCAACAATAGCTTCTAATTTTCCATAGCCCACTGGTGAAAGACCATGGTCAAACAATTTGCAGGAATTAGAAATGCAAATTTAAATGGTCAAAAAGCACCTTGCACCTCTTAAAGGACTAAAAGGTTCTAATGGCAAATGACTATATTCTTCAAGGGTCTTATCTGCCCAACAATGCACTACCAGCATCTGGATTTCCTCTGACTGGCGTGTGATAGGGCCTTTAGCATGTACACTGAACATATATGCTCAAGTTAACAGTAACCAACGATATTGTAATTGCTGTTAATGACATTTGAAATAGCAAGATTTCACAAGCAGACCATCAATGACAGATTTAGAATGTTTTCATTAAATATCCTGCATATATTTAAATTCTGAATATCCAATTTTGCAGGTAAATTGTTAAAATGAGACATGGTTGAAAACTGCCTTCAGACTCCTGCTTGCATGTTTCATTCTCTCTCTACTGACAATCACTTTCTTTTTATAATAAAGTATCTATAATTTTAGCAGCTTTGAATTAAGGGTTAGACCTGGATTCAAATGCTCGTGTTGCCACTTCCTAGCAGTTATGTGGCCTTGGGCATATCCAAAATCCCTTGAGACAGTCCCATTTGTAAAAGCGTCCTATTATCTGTTCTTGCCTACATCATAAGACCCTTGCAAAGACCTGGTGAAAGCTGAAAAGACACTAAGCTTTTGAAAGGGGCTGGAGATTATGTTGGGGGCCTTTGCTTACTTTGCATTAAACAAAAAAATCAAACCCCACACACAAATCTCTTTCAGAACTCTAGCAACTAAAAGAAATATGTTTTTACCTGTCAAAGTCCAACACTGAGCTGGGTGACCTGCAGAGCTCTCTGCTGGGGATTCCTCTGGCCCCATCTCCCTCTCAGTGTTTAATAACAGTGGACCCATTGCTTCTTCCCTTCCCTCACTCTCCAAGTTCACAGGTAACCCTTCCCACCCCACAGAGCATCAACGGACTGCTGCATTTTACTTTATTTTGCACATAATGAAAACAACCAATTGACTAAGCAGTTCCAGAACTGTTAGTGTTCATTAATCAAGAAATAAATGAAGTCAGAAGGCAAACTTTTCAATTTCTCCCAAACACATATTGCAAGTACAACAGAAACTCCTAACACATGTGACACTGGCCTAAGCAAGAAGGGTGAGTACTGAATATCCACATGGGTTAGACCAGGAGCCATGCTCCAGGAAACCAGACTATACCTAGTCAGTCATTCATGCTGCCCCCATATACATCCGCCCTGTGAAGTTCACTGTCTCTTGTCCGACTGAAATCCAAGCAGCTCTTTCCTCCATTTCCAGGCTCATCACTTCCTCTTATTCCAAGGTGGATAATCCATACACAGAAATCCAGGCAACTCAAATCCACTTGACTTGCCCAGGTGTTTCATGTGGCATCTCCACAAGCCAGGTTCCAGTTCAAATTCTGTACAGGAAGTTCCCATTGTCATCAAAGAACTCACGCCCCCTCTGCACTACTTTGCTGCTGAAGTTCTGGTCATCCAATTCTGCTTTCTCTTCCAGCTTCTTTGCACTTGGCAGTCCTTCACTGTTAGTTCCTCTGGTGCCCTCACTGGTGGAGTACTTCTGCAGCTCTCTCTGATGACTTCCAGCTACAGCGACAGGCCCAAAGCTCTCCTTCTCCAGGCTCTGGATTCCTTTATTCCTTCCTTTCTGTCTCCCCAGTGTGTATGTACTGTGAGTATTCGGTTCAATCACTTTCAAAGCTGTGCTGTGACCCTGGCCTTGGGATGAGGCTTCACCTCCTGACACAGAGTGGCCTGCAGAAAGCAGCTTCCAGGTATCCCCAGAGCCTGGAAGCTGGCGGAGCGAGTGGGCAAGCCCAGCTTTCTTAAGGACTTTTTGATCCTGCTTCAGTCTCTGCTCCAGTGTGGGTACAAACTTGCTTTTTAAAACCCTTCTGATCACATCAGTGCTAACATCAAAGCCTTCAGCCAATCTGGGAACTGACCAGGACTCTGAAAATTCTTTATGTAAATACCTGTAAGGAAACAAAGCAGTTTTTCAAGTTGTCACAAAGTCTCCTATCAGAATAACTAATATTAATGATAAATGCATGAGGAGGTACAAACATAGGCCGTGTTCTATTCCTGTGTGCCAACAGCAATACCCAACCACTCTTAGATCACTTTATTTCACATCAACTGACCTCCTCCCACTGAACACCAGCCCCAGTTAGATCCCGAGGAATGCATGAAGACTGTCCTTCCCTTTAAATAATATACAATATGGTGGCAGAGAAAGATGCATGAATATACCATGAGTGTAATGAGTGTCATAGCAGAGGATGCTGTGAAAGCACTCACAAGGGAGACCCAGGGACAGGCTGTCACAACACAACGCTTGCAGCATGGCCCAGGAATTGCCTCAGGAATTCCACAATAGAGCTGGTATGAAAGGATGAAGAGGAGTAATAAGCTGGCATGGCAGAGGGGAGGAGAGGAAGAAGAGACCAAAAGTACTGACGGTAGAGTGAGCATGTGAAATGCAAAGAACATCACCTTCGTGGGGAATACCTCACCTTGTCTGACAGCAAGGGCAGGAACAAGATCATGCCATGCTTAGGAGTCTGGAGTTTATCCCAAAGCAACAGCAAACCAAGGGAAGCTTTTAAGCAGTGGAATGCCATGAGCAAACTTTTATTTTAAAGCTCAATCCAGTAGTAGTTTTCCAGTGGCAAGACTAGAGGTGGAAAGATCGTGCAAGAGCCTATCAGAATAATCCAGGTAATATGAACTGAGGTGGTAGCAATGAGAGCAGAGGAGGGAAGAGCCTTGACAGTTTAGGAAGGCCAAGTGGTAGAACTTGGTAAGAGACTAAATATTGGGGGAGGAAGCAGGCTGAGATTCAGGATTTTAGCTTGGGGGACTGTTGGAATTATTCAGGTTTATAGCAGAAATAGGATAATTAAATTGTCAGGAAACAATGATAAATTCTATTTTGTACATGTTGAGTTTGAGGAACCTGTGTGACATCCAAACAGAGATATCTAGTGCACAGCTGAATATACAGAGTTCAGAAGAAGCACATGGACTGATGATGATGGCTTTGGAAGTCATAAGCCAACAGCAAAGGTTGCTGAAGCCATGTGGCTGCCACTAGGCAGGGAAATATGCTGAGTGAGATAAAGAGACTGAGAACACAACTGACTGAAAAAAAAGCAATATTTAAGATGCAGGATAAAGAAGGGGTATTCAGGAAGGAAACAAAAAAGCAGAAATAGAAGTGAGTGGTACTTGGGTCAAGGGAAAAGAGACTTTCATGAAAGCAGACTACAAGGTCAAATGCTGCAGAAATGTCAGGGAGGCTAAAGACTAGAGTGTCAGTTATGAGGAAGTCACTGATAGATTTGTGGAGAACAGTTTCACAGACAGAACAACAACAAACAACAACACATAGGCAGCCCGCTGGGGACAAAATGAAGGAAAAACTCAAGTTGACAGATGTAGGTCCCTGAGGAGTTAGGTAGGGATACGGCCTAGAGCACCTAGACAAGTGAAAGGACACTGTTTCCTCTGAGATGGAAAACAAGACAGAAGACTAAGAAGCTTTAAAGGATTCCTACCGAATGGCCTGTTTTCTCTTTGAAGTAAAAAATATTTATAGACCACCAAAAAGGATCTTTCAGGTAGAAAGGTTTGAAAAAGCTGTTGTTCAAGACAGGAGAGGAAGCCAACAAGAGAGGCGCAATAGGCTCACAAGGTCTTCTTGGTCAGCTCTACAGAATCTTTATTCTAAGTCTCAATTCGAGTCATTCTGATGAAAAAGGAAATGGCACACAACCCACAGAAGACTATTTAGCAATATTTATCAAAATGAAAATCCAGCCCTGGCCTGTTTGGCTCAGCGGTTAGAGTGTTGGCCTGCGGTCCAGAGAGACCCGGGTTCGGTTCCAGCTAAGGGCGCGTACCTCGGATGCGGTTTGTCCCCGGCCCTGGTTAGGTTGTGCGCGTGGCAGCCACTCGATGTGTCCCTTTAACGTCGATGTTTGTTTCTCTCTCTCTCTCTTCTCTATCTCTCTCTTCCTCCCACACTATCTGAACAAAAAATGGAAAAATGTCCTCGGTGAGGATAAAAAAAAAAAGAAAATCCATTTGCCCTTGGACCCAGCAACTGTACTCTGGCAGATATGATATGTGTACAGTTTATTCACTAGACCACTATTTTTTTTTTTAAGAGATAACAGAAGAAAGGGAGAAAGGGAGAACCATCAACATGAGAGACACACATCAATTGGTTGCCTCCTGCATGTATCCCCACAGGGCCAGCGATCAAACCTGCAACCTAGGCATTTGTCCTTGACTGGTAATCAAACCTACAATCCTTCAGCCAACACTCTAACCACTGAACCACACCGGCCAGGGCTAGAGCACTGTTTTCAATAGCAAGTGAGTGGAAACAATCCAAGCAGCCATCATAAAAGACTGCTTAACTAAACTACGACTGACTATGATTTCTATACAAAAGAATTTTAAAAATGTACTCTTCTGAAGTGAAAGATACTAAGTGAAAAAAGTATAGCCATTATGTATTTATAGTCTTGTTCTCTTTGTGATTAAGGTGAAAATAAAAATCTATATTAATAATCGTTGTATCTGCACAAAGAAACCCCCAAAAAGGCCCTAAAAAAACCATTAAAAATAGTACCCAGCCCTGGCTGGTTTGGCTCTGAGGTTAGAGCATTGGTTCCCTGGACCAGAGAGTCTTGGGTCCAATTCTGGTCAAGGGGACCTACCTCAGTTGAGGTTTGGTCCCTGGCTGGGGTTGTGCAGGAGGCAACCAGTCCATATGTCTCTCTCACATCGATGTTTCTCTCTCTCTCAATCTGAAAATAAAGGGGGGGGGGCATAGCACCCATAGGAGACAGTCTGGGATTAATACGTCTCAATCTGCATTCCACACTATTCTGTTCTAATTTCGAACCATACATAATGTAATCTACCTAAAATAACAACAAAAACCATAACATTTAAGGATCTCTGCAAGATTAAAAACAAATAAATAAAGATTTTCTAAGATATGGATTCACTCCTCAGAAAACTGTGCACAACCATGGCAGGTCCCATCCCTGGATCTTAGGTTAAGAACTCCCTGGGTTACTGTTTAGGGTTTAAATGTTGTGATGTCTACAACGGCCTATTTTTAAGTTTCAGCAAAATGAACCAGTTGTGTCACAACGTGGAAAACTATTCTATCGCGATGACAGGCTTACGGGAGTTCTTTACGCGTCTTTAAGAAACCTTCAAGGATAAGAAAAGGTGCAAGTAAACGTAAACACCGTATCGTAAGCCCCAGGACCCGTCGCTCCGCATCGCAGCGGATCCAAACGCCGGGAGCCTTACCGGATCTGCTCCATGGCTTCCCAAGTCAGAGTCCTGGGCGGGGCACCTGGCGGCTCCATCTGCCTCCGAATTTTCTGGAACCGAATAGCTTTTTTCTGTCGTTTCAGGGCGCTGGGGGAGAGAACCCAATGGCAGAAGCCGAGCGTGGAAGCAAGATGGGCGGTGAAGTCTGGGGCTAAAGCATGGAGCGCCCAGCCCGCTGTGCACCGCCCCTGGCACCTAACCCCAGAACAGCAGCCCCTCAGCACGCCGCTCTCTAAACGGGTGATGAAACACGTCACCGACGGAGGGACCGTGGTCCCAAAGGAGCTGAACGCCTGCCCCTGCGCCTCTGAAAAGGGTAACGAGGGCCGCTGCGAACGCGGCGGCGGGACGCCCGGCGCCGAGGGGGCGCGGCCTGGAGCGCCGGGGCGAGGCCCTGCTTCAGGCTGAGGGCCCGGGAAGGAGCCGGTACCTCTCCACCTCCTGCAGCTCCCGCTCCTCCGGTTCCCAGTCGGAGTCAGGGTCCGGCTCGCGGCCGGTGGGTCCGGGGCCTGCCACCCCGCGGGTCGCGAACCCGCAGCGAGCGACGACAGCAAAGACGCGCGCGCCGAGCAAGAGGCTCAGAGTACCCGCCATGTTGACAGAACTACCGTCCTACACACCGCAACACCGGAAGCCGAGGGGCGGAGCCGGAAGTGGAAGGGCAGGGAGGCTGTGGGTCCCTCGTCCTCCCCCCGCTTCCGGCGGAGGGCTGGTTATCTGCGCTTGGAGAGCTCCGCCGCCCACCCTTCTCTCTCTAACTATGGGGAGGGCTCCCCAGAAACGCGATAGTCCGAATGAGGTGAAGGACGCTCCTGCAAAACCGCATAAACTTTAATAAGAAGACGGGTTCAAGTGCCAAGAGCCAGTCTTTCGCCCCAGCGGCAGCTCAGGCCGGCCCGTTGCCCGCACAGCTGGGGGAAGGACGTCGCCTGGGCGGTCCTCTGCCGCGACAGCCCTGTGCCTTGGGCAGTGGACTCCTCGTCGCCGGGATGAGCTCCAGCCCCGGGCCACACCCAGGGTTCAGACCCATCATCTAGCGATAAATCCAGGCTCAGGTTTGAAGGGCGGAGATGAGTGCATGGCCGGCCCTGGCTTCTCTTCATTTTTTAGTCTTTTTCTGATCCGAAAATACTCTTGGGGTGTTGAGGAATTCCTGGTGTCTTTATGTGTGTGCCTTATGCAAATAGGGTTCCTGGCCAAGGCTTTTCAAACTCAAGCTTGGTGGCAGTCTTTCACTGGAAGGCCCTTTGCCCCTTAGGAAACCTGAGGGCGTCTTCCAGCAGAGGTTGAGCTCTGGTGGCCGATGTCCAGGAGTGCGGTGGTACTCTGCATCATGGGTGCAGAGGCAGGGCAGAGGGGAAGGTCCTGGGCCTTGGCTGCTCTGTGTTCAGAGTTTACCATGGAGGGCAAGGTGCATTCAGCCCATGGGCTACTTACCACTCTTTCCCATTGCAGAAAATAGCCCTGCTTTGGGGTTAAAGAGGATGGCACTGAACCTGCCATGGCTCTGTTTATGGCTTCTAGCCTTCTGCTGGCTTGGCCTTCTGCAGTGGAAACATGGATCCCCTTGAGTTGCTACTCACAACTCTTTCCCAACTGTTGCCCGATGACCCACACAGAGGCACGACATCCTATGCTTCCCTCCAGCATCTTTACCACACTGGGCTGTAACTGGTGTGTTTACTTGTCCACGTCCCTGTTACCTTTGTTGAGTGCTAGGATTGGATTTCTGCCAATTCTATGACCAGGCTGTAGTACATAGGAGGAGGTAGATAGATGGGTCCCCTGCCTCCCATTCCCACGCTACAGGAAGTGCCATAGTATATTTTGGGAGCATCCCAGCTGTGATATTTGCTAGTGGGAATTTACACACATGAGAGTGACGAAAGCTAGTTTTGCATACTTACGGCTACTGGGCCTGACTCTGGGAAGGGGGAAACAGCGCCTTGCGGATTTCTTCACTGACAATGAACAGGAACCAAAGGCGACTGGATCTCTTAGCCAGTTGAAGTTCCTGGGTTGTAGGTAGCACCGGGAATGTTGCAGAAGTGCAGGATTCATGCTTGCCAGTGGCCCTAAGATCCTGGGGATCAACTCCTGGGATAGAACTGGATGCAGGAAATGAGAAGGGCCCTGCTCTTTGGTGGCTCTTCTCAGGAGGACCAGTGGGAACACATTCATAGATGGCAGTTCTTGACTGCTCAGCCCGTCCTGGTGAGATCTAGGCTAGAGGAGAAAAGCAGCCTCTTACACCACATTTCTTGTGAGGCTGACGGAGTGGAAGAAATAGATAACTGAAAAATCTCTTCTAGGCCGTAGCCACTACTTAACCAAGTTACTCCTTTGGGACTCAACAAAAACAGGACTCAACAGGTTTGCTACTAGCCCAGGGAATAGTGAATGCGGCAGCTGTTTTGTTGGCCCAAGACTTTACTTATCTCCTGATAGAGCCACGGAACTGGCAGTGTTAGGGAGAGATTACACAGAAACCACTGGGGGTAGTGGGTCAGTCATGGGTTTGGGGTTATTGCCAGACAGAAATATAGAGAACAGGTCTCTTGTGAGAAGGTTGGGAACTGTACTTCGCTGGATATCATTACTAAAAACAAGGGAGCTTGGGAACAGACATAAGAGGAACCAGCAGACCCTTTCCTAAGGCCCAGCATACACTGCTTTCTCACGCTCCACTGCCAGATACCATCACATTAGCCTCCTGGGCCGTAGGCACCACCACGTGCCGGCAGCAGCCCTTGTTCCCTGTTCTGTGAGATGCTGCGTAGGGACCCTCACCCGAGTCTCATGAAGTGTTTTCTGGCTCTGGGGGCTGGGTTGCACCATGCTGGTGATCTGCTCTACAATACCCAGGCTTCGGATGAGATTCTCCCTTCGTAGCAGGGCCTTCAACCGCTCCAGCTCCTCCTCTTCCACAATTTCTTGGGGCTGCATGGTGTCCAGGTATCCTGGTGGCAGCTACAGGGTACATGAGAGATGCATACAGGATATCCAATGATGAGTCCCAAACCATCAACAGGACAACTGCAGGATTCTGCCCACTCAACCACCATCCCTTCCCTGATGCTAGTGCTAGGTTCCCTTTGCTATCCATTCTCTCACATCCTGTTCCAAAAGGTCATATTCAGTGTACTCATTAGGAACTCATCTCTCTCAAACAAGGAAGAGAGGACAGCAGAGATTCCCTTCTCTAATAGTTCCAACCCATTTTCCTGCAGAAAGGCAAGAGCCACAAAGCCCCTGACACCTCTTTCTCCCGTTTCCGGTTCCTGTAAGCCAAGTGGGTGGAAAGGCGTTGGAGCCTGGCCCTGGATTGGATCTTCTCTCCTGCCGATTCCCCCTGGCTCTGCTCCTTGTTTTCCTTTCGCCTCCTAGCGGCTAAGATCTCCCGATGCTCCTGCTTCAGGCGGATCTCTTCCCGTTGCTGCCTGACAAAATACAGCAGCTTTAGACACTGTGTTGGGAAGAGGTGGGGGAGGAGATGGGAAAAGAGGAGAAAATAATCTGTTCTAGGGCTGATGGGAGAGGAATGTGGGGGAAGATGGGAAACCTACTAAATTGAGTTATTAAGAACGATAGAATTTATAACTCTGTCCCTCTTTCCTCAAGTGTCTAGCATCCTCTCCACCCTGCTGGGGAGCAATTCAGCTTCAGGATTTTACCCCACCCGCGTGGAAAGAGGAGCAAGCAGGGCAAAGTACCTGGTGCACTCCTCTCTGGCCTTGGAAGCCGCAGTCTCCTGGAAGAGGGAGCCACTGTGCTTGAAGAAGGGTGCATACTTCTGTGTGTCCGGCCCAGGGTAGATCCTCCGGTACCCTCCAAGGTGGGAATCTTCATAGCATTCCTGGTTCAGCAGTGCTGCTTGGGACAGTTCAGTTTGTTCTCGCCTGTGAAAACCAAGCTCTCGGTGAGTCGGGAGGTCTGTGAGAATGCTGGGTCGGGAAAGGAAGGCAGGCTGAGGCTCTGAGAACCTGCTGCTAGCTTCATGGCCTTTCGGGCGCCTGCTTATGTGGTGAAAGCTGCCAAGCCCACCTGTGTGTAGTAATGAAAGCAGGCTTGACTTCCAGAAATCTGATTTTCATTTTTTAAAATATGTTTTTATTGATTTTTTAGAGAGGGGAAGGGGGGGGAGAGAGAGAGAGAGAAACATTAGTGTGAGAGAGAAACATTGATTGGCTCCTTCCTGCATGCTCCCTACTGGGGATCAGGCCCCCAACCCAGGCATGTGCCCTGACTGGGAATTAAACAAGGACCTCTCAGTCCATGGGATGATGCTCAATCCACTGAGCCACACCAGCCAGACTGGTTTTCATCTTAAGTACAACAGGATCCACTCATAAGATAGTACTCCAAGTTATCACAGTCTTATAGGTTTCTGATTATAGGAAATTGGGTTTCTAATTACAGACATTCTAGAAGAGCAAAAAGAAAATGAAAACCACCCATAGTCTTACAGTACAGTTAGCATATTGATTATGAGCATAGAGTCTGAGGCAGGACCTTCTGAGTTTGAATCCTGGCTTTGCCAACTCACCAAGTTCTTCATTTATTCCTTCCTTTCTTGTTTTAGATGACATTGGGATCATACAACATTTTTAAATGAATGCCTAGTATTCTAGTGCATAATTGTACTTTTGTTTATTAAGTCCACTAGTTTCTAACCTGTTATCCTCATTGCAAAACATGATTCATAAAGTCATGTGCACAGTCCTATCTCACTTAAACGTCCAGGGCATATACAGTTACACTTCACCTCCACTCGCACACCCTTGAACACCTACTGTGTACCAGGCCCTCAAAGTATCATGGCAAATCAAATACCCACTGGCCCTGCATCTTGCAATGCAAGTGGGGAAGAGTGATATTATTATTACAAGAGTAATCCTAAATCTACTCCAATTAATTTTTTAAATTATTTTTTTGGGGGGGAGAGAGGGGGCAAGAGAAAAGAAGAGCGGAGAGAAAAAAAGAAACATCAATTTGTTGTTCTTCCACCTATTTATGCATTCATTGGTTGATTCTTGTATGTGCCCTGACCGGGATCAAACCCGCAACCTTGGGGTATTGGGACGAAGCTCTAACCAAAAGAGCTATCCAGCTAGGGCCAATTAATTTTTATGTGTCATTAACGAACTATAATTTAGTATCGGCAACAAATTCCCATGTGTTTACAATTAAAACAATAGTGGGTGAACAATACTGACTTAAACTGTCCCCTAAAAACAAAAGTAAGTAAATAAATAAATAAATAAACTGTCCCCTAATATTGAATGACTAAAACTGTTTTGTGTTTCATTATTATAAACTTTCTCAGGAAATGGTTTCCAGAGGATCTTTGTTAAATACACACACACACACACACACACACATGAACAGCTAATAAAACCACATAAAACTCATGTTCTAATACAAAATAGCTCTAAAATACATTGCTAAGCTGGGTACAGAGAGTGGGAAAGTTATGCTACTGTCTGGGCAGTAAAGGGAGTAAAACAATTGGTGGGTGGGTGGGTGTGTGTGTGTGTAAAAATATACACGTGACCCAAGGAACACTGATTGGCGCTGGGGCAGGGGAGGAAGGGGCTGACTCA